CAACAGAAAAACAGACTAATACAGACAGTCACCAGCAGAGATCGGACAAAGAAGAGGACGCCTCTCTCTTCAAAACCCACTCCAGAGTAACAGAAGAAGCAACTGCTCTCTACCAGATGATGAGACATCAATGTAAAGATCCTAGAAATACGAAAACCCACAAAAATATGACACCACCAAAAGAATACAGGAATTCTCAAATACCAGGCCCTACAGAGCAGGAAAGCCTTGAAATGACTGCAAAGGAATTCCAAGCAATTATCTTCAGGAAACTCACTGAAAGAGGAGAAGACTCAATTAGACAACATGATGAAATAAGAAAAAAAATCCAGGATAGAAAGGACGAAATTTACAAAGAGATTAATACCTTAGAAAGGAATGTAGCATTTTAATAGAGGTGATTGCAAGTATAAATTTTCATCATCCTGTGAATTTCGATATATCGTGCTCTGATTTTTATCTCCAAGTACTCTCTAATTTCCCTGTGATATTTGTTTTCACCCACTGTTTCTTTAGGAGAGTGTTTAATTCCCACACATTTGTGAATTTTCTAAATTTTCTTCTGTTATTGTGGTCAGAGAACATATTTTCTTTGATCTTAGTCTTTTTAAATGTATTAGGACTTGCTTTGTGGCCAAAAATTTTTTAAATTATTCTAGAAAATAAAAAGAAAACATACTCAGATAAACAAGCAAACCAAAAGCAAAAACACCAGCTCAGACAAAACTGAGCAATGAAAACGCAAACAACCTGATCCCAAAATGGCCAAAAGTCTTGAATAGACATTTCTCCAGAGAAGACACATAAGTGGCCAATAATCACCAAACAAGATGCTCAACATCACTAGTCATTAGGGACACGCAAGTCAAAAGTACAACGAGATATCAGCTTACGTCCATTAAAATGGCTACTGTCACAAAAACGGAAAACGTGTTGGTGACGACGTGGAGACACTGGAGCCCTTGTGCACTCACTGTTCACGGGAACGTGAAATGGAGCACCTGCTGTGGAGAACAGCGTGGAGAGGGCCGGCCCGTGGCTCACTCGGGAGAGCGTGGTGCTGACAACACCAAGCCCACAGGTTCGGATCCCTGTATAGGGATGGCCGGTTGGCTCACTCGGGAGAGCGTGGTGCTGACACCACCAAGTCAAGGGCTAAGATCCCCATGCCGGTCATCTTTAAAAAAAAAAAGGTATGGAGGCTCCCCCCAAAATTAAAAATAAAATTACCATATAACCCAGCAATTCCATTCTGCATACATACCCAGGAGGATGAAAGCAGGGTTTTATAGAACCACGTGTGCCCCCATGATGTGAAGAAGAGCATTCTTCACAATAGCTAAAACGTGGGAGCAACCCGAGCGTCCACGGGCAGATGAACGGATAAACAAAATGGGGTACATCCACACAGTGGAACACTATTCACCCTTACAAAGGCAGGAAATTCTGACACACGCTACAACACAGACGAGCCTCGAGGACGCCATGTCAGGTGAAATAAGCCAATCGCAAACAATAAATACTGTATAATTCATTCCACTTATATGAGGTACCTAGAATAGTCGAATTCATAGAGACAGAAAATGGCATGTTGGCAGACACGGGTTGGGCTGGGAGAGTTGAGGGGGGGACCCAGGAGTCAGTGTGTAATGGGTACAGAATTTCAGTTTTGCAAGATGGAAGGAGTTACAGAGACAGTGGTGGTAATAGTTCTACAACATGTGAATGTACTTAATGCCACTGAACTAGATACTTACAAATGGCTAAGAGGGTAATTTTACCCTCTGTGTATTTTAGCATGATAAAAAATATTGGGGGAAAAAGCCAAACAGCACAGGGTGTGTGACTCAGGGCTAGTGTGAAGACAGTGCATGATACGCACTGTATCCAAATGACAATTTTTACATATCAGTGCATGCCTACAGCGTAACTGGGACGGTTTGAATGTCCCCACCAAAGCTCACGTTGAAGTTTCATCCTCAGTATGTATCTGAAATGTGGGGCCTTTGAAGAGGTGATTGAATCATGACGGCTGTGTCCTCATGAATGTATTCATCCATGCGTGGATTAACGGATTAACGTCTTATGCTGAGCCTAGACTGGTGGCTTTCTAAGGAGAGGAAGAGACCAAGTGACACATTCTTGCCCTCTCACCATGTGATACTCTGCACTCTGCAGAGAGTCCCCACCAGGAACAAGGCCCTCACCAGACGTGCCCCCTGGACCTTGACGTGCCCCCTAGTCCTTCCCAGCCTCCAAAACTGTCAGAAATAAATTCCATTTCTTTATAAATTACCCAGGCTCAGGGATTCCACTGTAAGTGACAGAAAATGGACTAAGACAATAAGAAAAAGGACACAAAAGTCAGGTTTATCCACACCACGACTAGAACATGGAGTAGTGCTTGAGTCCCATCTTCCAGGGCCCTACCTCCAGCTGTGCAGGAGCACCGGGGAAGGGCCGAGGTCTGCAGAAAACTGCCAACAACTGAGGCGGGTGCAGAGGGGCGCGCGCTGGCCCAGGCCGGTGCTCTGAGGACAGAAAGGAAAAGAGCCTGACGCAACCATGGCTGGAGCTGAGTGGGGGCAGGCTTGGGAGTTAGAGATCGTGGTGCTGCCACCCCTGAGAGGGAGCAAACAGCTCGGGTCACTCTTTACACCCTCACGTCCCTGTCCCAAAGGCGAGTTTAAGTCCTTTCCCTCTCACTTACATTGACTATCGACTGAACACTTAGGAAACCACCTCTCTCATTATCCAAATCCCCTCTCCCATTCCTTAAGAACAGACCCCAAATTTATTCAGGGTGTCAATGTTCCCAGGCAAAGACTACATTTCCCAGCTCCCTCGGCAGGTAGGGGTGGCCAGTGAGGTGTAAGGGGGGGGGGGGGGGGGGGGGGGGGGGGGGGGGGGGGGGGGGGGGGGGGGGGGGGGGGGGATGAAGTGCCATCTTGGCCCTTGCCCCTGTTCCCCGTCCTGGCTAGACTGTGGAATGATTGCCAGGACTTAGTCTGTCATCCTGCCATCCCGGGGACAGAGGCTACGCACTAAGGATGGTGGGGCATAAATACGAAAGGAACCGGGATTCCTGATGCTTTCTGGGAACGGCAACATGGTTCTGGATTGCCAGCCTCCAGACTTTCATTTCTGTCATGCAGTACCATCTGAAGTGTCATTAAGCTGTGGGAGGATTACGGACTGTCAGTGCAACTGCAGAAGCCATCTAGATACACGTTTTTGTCCAGGCCCCTCAGTGTGTTCAAGCCCGCCCTGTGTTATGAACTTGGCACACTGGATCACNGGGCGGGCGCTGGCCCAGGCCGGTGCTCTGAGGACAGAAAGGAAAAGAGCCTGACGCAACCGTGGCTGGAGCTGAGTGGGGGGCAGGCTTGGGAGTTAGAGATCATGGTGCTGCCACCCCCGGGAGGGAGCAAACAGCTCGTGTCACTCTTTACACCCTCACGTCCCTGTCCCAAAGGTGAGTTTAAGTCCTTTCCCACTCACTTACATTGACTATCCACTGAACAGTTAGGAAGCCACTTCTTTCATTATCCAATATCCCCTCTACCATTCCTTAAGAATAGACCCCAAATTTATTCAGGGTGTCAATGTGCCCAGGAAAGACTACATTTCCCAGCTCCCTCTGCAGGTAGGGGTGGCCAGTGAGGTGTAAGCAGAAGTCACAGGGCAGGGCTGCTAGGAAATATGCTAAAGAAGCTCACTTAGCTGGTGGGGGGGGGAGGAAGTGCCATCTTGGCCCTTGCCACTGTTCCCCGTCCTGGCTAGACTGTGGAATGATTGCCACGACTTAGTCTCTCATCCTGCCATCCCGGGAACAGAGGTTATGCACTAAGGATGGTGGGGCAGAAATACGAAAGGAACCGGGATTCCTGATGCTTTCTGGGAACGGCAACATGGTTCTGGATTGCCAACCTCCAGACTTTCTTTTCTTTCATGCAGTACCATCTGTAGTGGCATTAAGCTGTGGGAGGATTACGGACTGTCAGCGCAACTGCAGAAGCCGTCTAGATACACGTTTTCGTCCAGGCCCCTCAGTGTGTTCAAGCCCGCCCTGTGTTATGAACTTGGCACACTGGATCACAGGAGAATTTGGCAGAGATCACGTTCACTCATTCAAAGCCCAGGGAGGGTCCACTTCTGACACCAGCAACATGTATAATGGCGAATCCCAAGCAGGGCAGTGAGGAAGGAAAGAAAAAAGAAGTTCATGAAGACAGTATTGTGTGAAATGGTGAGCTGAAGATAAACCACAAGAGAAGATATTCTTTACGTCATTACAGCAGAAGAGCTCCCCTCTCTGAGGATGAGGGCTTTGAATTTTCAGGCATTTGCCATCCTTGTAAGTCGAGGGGGAGGGGTCCCTGCATTGACCTCCCCTTTCCCTAGAACTATCAGCGCAGCGTACAAGCCACAAGAGTCACGGTTGTATTATGTTGAGGCCGAAATCCTGGACGCACTCAGGACAATAACTGTGAAACACGAGACAGCAGCTAGTGCACACCTAGTTCCCTGGGACCCACTCCTCACAGCTGCTGACGAGGCAAGTGACAGGATGCACGCTCCCTGAGCCAGCATGTGGCCCAAAGGCAGGAAATTCTGACACACAATGTATAATGGCGAATCCCAAGCAGGGCAGTGAGGAAGGAAAGAAAAAAGAAGTTCATGAAGACAGTATTGTGTGAAATGGTGAGCTGAAGATAAACCACAAGAGAAGATATTCTTTACGTCATTACAGCAGAAGAGCTCCCCTCTCTGAGGATGAGGGCTTTGAATTTTCAGGCATTTGCCATCCTTGTAAGTCGAGGGGGAGGGGTCCCTGCATTGACCTCCCCTTTCCCTAGAACTATCAGCGCAGCGTACAAGCCACAAGAGTCACGGTTGTATTATGTTGAGGCCGAAATCCTGGACGCACTCAGGACAATAACTGTGAAACACGAGACAGCAGCTAGTGCACACCTAGTTCCCTGGGACCCACTCCTCACAGCTGCTGACGAGGCAAGTGACAGGATGCACGCTCCCTGAGCAGCATGTGACAGTGAGAAGCGTGGCTGTAACTACAAGCGTGGGCCAAAAGGGCAGGTCAGAAAAGGCTTGATGTGCTTCATCTGAGAAGGCGAACAGAGTTAATGACCTCGTCCGTAGCTTGCGGGTTTTGTGGTGCCTGGGCAGGCGGACAATGGCTTTCAGGTTTAGTTGGCAGAACGCAAACTCTGGCTGGAATTGCATGTACGGAGGCCTGGGGAAAGCACAGGGAAACGGAAGCCATGGTAGGTGAGGCACAGTAGGACACTCTTCTCACGGTACCCACGAGCTCCACTCAGCACCAGCTCCTGCATTGCTGCTTCTCAGGGTGACCCTGGAAGGTGGGCAGCCACCAAGGAGTGCACACTGCAGGGATCCTGAGGCCACAGTTAACCTGGACGGTGGCTACAATAAGAAAACAGAAGGAATCTGAAGCACAATTGCCAATAGGTTGCCAGGAGGGCTCAAGGCCAAGTTGGGGAGGGAACTGTGAATGGAAGAGGAGTAGTGAGCTGAGAATCAGGGAGGGTCCAGAGGGGCTGATGATTTCAGACGACCTCCAGGCTTCTT